TTTGAAAAACGTGATATTCCATAAAATGTTAAAAATCAAGGACGGGTTTAGGTTTTTTTATGTCTTAGTTGAGGGATTCATACCAGAAACCGTAAATGTTTCTGGAAAGGAGAAGAGTACATCGCAAATATCAGATTGACAGAGCTGCCTTTGCTGGGACAACGCAACACACCTTAAATTCCTGGGCATGGCAGGTTAGGTTTTCTGAGTCCAGGAAATCTTGTCCAAATATGTCTGTCTTTTTACAAGGTCTTCGGCGAATGTCACACAAGCCACCGTCGTAGATCCTGCAAAAATATTTGATAGTTTTAATAAATAAAAACSCGAAAATTAGCTTTTTTATCCCTACTGTCACACAAATCAATGTATCGAAATAGCAACCATCTTTGCGGTTGATATATATGTCAATCAAGAATATAATTAATTAATGTGARTTTACCCCAAAAGTTCAGGAATGGTGTTGACGGCCATCGAGCAATCAGCTGCCGTATATCCTTCCTCACAGATGCACGTTCTGTTTGTACAGTTACCATGGTTATTGCAATCGTTAGGACACAATACATTGCCTATTTCCTCTGGTGGCCTAAGCTTTCCRCTCGAGTCTCTTTTAAAAAGTGACACATTTCGCAGGGCCTTTTCTTCACACCCGTTCTTCATGGAATCAAAGGCCGATTCAACGAAACGTGTGTCGCCAGTTATCTGCAATAGAATTTACRGCCTTTATAATTAGCCGGTGTAATATTCTTATTATGAAGTAAAGATCCTGATGGGAAATGTATGGGTCAACACCCTGTTAACCTGCTTACTAAAATTCAAGAAATTTTATCGATCTTATGCCATGATTGTCATCTCATATTCGCGAATAAAGTTGTTTAAAAAGATACTGTAACAACAACAAATCCGGCTTTTCTATTTCAATATATAAGCGTCCAAATTAAATGTTTCAGTCAGTTTCGCTTTTCTCCCTTCAGGACCCTCTAAACTGTAATGAATAATCATTAGTAAAATTACCGTCAAATCTTCAATACACTCCATAATGAATCCTGTTAGATTGGTTCCGACTAAGTTACTGCATGTTTTTCCCCCAATCGAGCCTTCTATAGCTTTTTTACAATATTTGGTGGCATTTTCTTTAGACATAAAACCTCCCTCTTCTATTTGTCTTTTAGAACGTATTCGTGCTTCAGCAAAGTGCGCCTCTTCGCTATCTTCGAAGAAACTTTTTACTTCATACTCAATGATATCGTCTGTATATGTGGTCTCTCGCACAGACCTTGCGATTCGATCCAAATTTTGTGTGATATCTTCTCCCTGGTGGTTATCGAAGTTTTGGAAGTAGTTTACTGTGTCGTCACACTCTTCTACATCGTGTGTGGTTTTTCCAGTAGGGCAAAAACACGACTGTCCTGTTACTGGTACGCTTACAACTGGTGGTAATGCTTCGAAATAACTCATTCGTGAAGTTATCCTAAGGAACATGATACATRAAAATTAATCTATATAAAGTCTTAGGGTGTCAAGTGTGCCAAGCCCTGCTGCAGAGGTACAGCTATGTTGATCATGCCTGAAAAAAWTTTGTATCAATACCATGAAACACCCTCTGGGCTGATCCGCAAAGTCAGGGCATGGCTAACTCACTAACTAACCCTGGAATCTTTAGGTTTTGCAGTTTCAGAAGGATAATTACTAGGATCGCAGGAGGGTTCGATCACAWTCTCGACTAAGCCGCATATGTTAACGTTAATAGAGTTGATGTGTTGTTCTCTCTCTTGGCACGGGTTTTTTTTCTTCGAGTTCTYCGGTTTTCCTCCCTCCTTARAAATCAACATGTGAGTTGAGAGTTGTGTGTTACGAACAGTGAATGTGTGGAGCGTAACTTACGGCAGGCTTTCATGGGGAGTGATGGCTGTAAAACATAAGTAGGTTTTGTTTAAAAAATAATACTGGTCTTACCTCCAACTTCTTGCAAAAGAAGCAGAATCTGCATGGTTTTGTTTGTCTCCTCCGTTGTTAAAGTCATCAGTTGGGTCGTTATTAAAATTTCCGCAAAGTCCTTGAATGCTTTTAGAGTTCTCTTGAAACGCATTGACGAATAGACTAACTCCCCAGCCATAGCGTTTAATTTTGATTCGAATACCAGATGGCAGAATCACCTTACCAAAAAAAACATAAAACAGTCAAATGGAGACCACAAGAAGAATGRTAATGAACAAAAAGTTCCATTAAGACAAAAGGTAAAATTTTCACTTTTTATAATTCTGTTTAACACTAGTTTCTGTASCAAAAAGGAACCGCTAGGGATCATCGCTATACATGCACTGGGTTCCAGARGGATAAAAGTCGGATAACCCCTCTGGAACCCAGGGTATCATCACTACTGCTTCTAAATGAATACTTTACTGGCGTAGATTTCATGACCTACGATAGTGCTTAAAACGCAAGAAAAAAGAAAAAGTGTAATATTTTAATCATCCAAGAGGACCCGATCTGTTAACGTTTTAATCAGTTTCAGCGAAATTTAAAAAAATAAAGCAAAAAAGAACCATTTCAGCTTTTTTGYTTATCATTAAACAAATACTTACATCAGTAGTTGATGAGCTTCCACTTCCTTGACGGTAGATGTGCATTCCACGGGCAAGTGGGCCAGTGCTACGAACCATAGTTCTAAGTCGATTTGGTTCGTGGAAAGTACGTAGTGAATGACAAACACTAACCTCGATCACATCATTACCTTCTCGTATTGCTACACCACAGTTACATGTAACACTAGGACTACAAAGCCACACCCGGGAGTGAATCTGAAAAGCACAATTACTTTAATCCGCAAATCTAGGCAAAGTTTAAAGGCTTTTATGGGGTATTGGGAAGAGGGGAGAGGGAAATTGGTACTATAGGAACCAACCTTTGGACTTTTGGAGCTAAAATAGAAAGTCACACAGCTGCTATCGTTATGGGWATGAAAGGGATTAGTCTTTAATGCTAATAAAAAATTCAAAACTCAGACCTCAACGTTACGCCTTCTATCTTTAAAAAGAACGTAGACACCAGGTTCCATCATAGAGTAGCCGCTAAAGAAAAATTATTTATTAATATTTATTACATTTCAATTACATATATA